GCGGATCTCTGTGAGTTCCAGGCCAGCCTGGTCTACATAGAGTTCCAGGACAGCCAGGGCTGCAAAGTTAAAAACAAAAACAAAAATAAAAAACCATCAACCACTCCACCAAAGTCTAACTTGGAGAACAATGAGTTTATTTTTTTTTATTTATTTTTTTGGTTTTTTGAGACAGGGTTTCTCTGTGGTTTTGGAGCCTGTCCTGGAACTAGCTCTTGTAGACCAGGCTGGTCTCGAACTCACACAGATCCACCTGACTCTGCCTCCCAAGTGCTGGGGAATCAATGAGTTTATTGGGCTTCCTTGCAGAGCATGGCTGAGGAGTTTTGACGTGAAAGTCACATCTCTAGAGTTCTGTTCCTAGAATCTTGCTTCTTTTTTTTTTTTAAGTATTTATTTATTATGTATACAACATTCCTTCCATGTATGCTTGCATGCCAGAAGAGGGCACCAGATCTCATTATAGATGCTGTGAGCCACCATGTGGTTGCTGGGAATTGAACTCAGGACCTCTGGAAGAGCAGTCAGTGCTCTTAACCACTGAGCCATCTCTCCAGCCCCCAGTGAATCTTGTTTTTTGAGCCTTGTAAGTTTCAGCGACTTCCTGAGTCTTGAACCGCCTTCTCCCTCTAAGAGGGAGTGTTCAATTCAGAGAAAATAGCAATGGAGCACCAAAGGCTCAGGGAATTCTAGTCAGAATTCAGTTGTCTTTAAGTCTTTCCCAGCAGTTGTACTGCTGCGGCATTGCCTGGGGATGCTCCCTGTCTATCCTGGATAGATACCAGGTGCCCCTGCCTGCCCTAGAGCCAGCTGCAGTACCTGGAGGAGACTGCCATCCGGGACCGCAAGAAGCGCGAATACTTCATAACGGACTGCAAGAAGCGGGCGGAAGAGAAGAAACTTCTAACAGAGCGCATGGAGCGCAAGGTGTGCACTCCTAAGGGTGCAGGACTTGGCCAGCTCAGACCAGACAGCCTCAGCCTTGCCTTGCCCCCACATTCTGACCGAGCCCTCCCTACTCCTCTCATTGTCCTGACCTCGCCCCCCACAAATCTCACCTCATCCTCCTTTCCTGGGAGAGGCCGCAGCCTGCAGCCCTGCCCTGACTGTCTGAACCTCCGCTGCGGCCTGCAGCCCTACCCTGACTGTCTGAACCTCCGCTGCGGCCTGCAGCCCTACCCTGACTGTCTGAACCTCCGCTGCGGCCTGCAGCACCACCTTGACTGTCTGAACCTCTCCTCATCCTACCCCATTTAATTTAGCCGCTTTTGTTCCAAATCCGACTGGGGCTCTCGCCCACCCCTTTCCGGAGGCCACTCCTTCTATGACCCTGCTTCCTTACTCTGGTTCTGAGGTCACCTCTCTGAGTCTTGCAGGGATAACCATATCTAGACTGTTCCTCACAATCTAAGCCGGATCCTCTCCTGACCTCTGTCCCAAGCCCTGTTTGGAATTGATTTTGATGGTAGCCTTGACTGTCCCCCACCCTCAAGCAGACGCACCGAGAGCATGTCCTGCTGCAGTCAGAAGATACCATCCAGGACCACCAGCGGCACAAGGAGGAGGAGCTGAAGCAGCGCTGGGGCATGTACCAGATGGAAGTGATGTTCGGCAAGGTTAAGGATGCCACTGGAGTGGCTGAATCGCACGTGAGTGCCCCAGGCTGCGTGTGAGCCAGGAAGGGCTCCCAGGATGGCGGAGCTGTCCACATCAGCCCTTAATTTCTTCCATTCTTCCACTGTGCTAACTTGTTTGGTATGTCAGTTTTGGGAGCTTTATTTTTCAGGTCCTGTTTCTCAGATCATCACTGTGTGGAATGATCTAGAATACAGTGGATTGCCCAGTATTGCCCCTAACCTCGGAATCCCAGCCCTGCTCTGTGTCTCCCTCCAGCGCCTGATCCTGCTTTAGAATACTGACCCCCACACACCCAGTCAGTTTCTCCAGTTTGGGTTCTCTGTACCCAGCTACCCCTGGAAAGTGGTTAATCCCCAGGCAATCAGCCGTGAATTCATTCAGCAGTCCGAGAACCCCTTCAGAAACGGGTCCCAAGCTGGTGAGATGGCTTGGCGGGTAAAGAAGATGGCTCTCGAGCCCGACAACTCGAGTTCCTGGGCCCGGTGTGGTGGGAAGTGAGAGCAGACTCCTCCAAGTTGCTTTCTGAAATCCACACGTGTGCCACGGCACACACACAGCCGGGAGGCCTGATCACACCCTAGAGGTACACACAGCGTCTTTGTGCTGTTTAGCGAGATACCCACCCAGAACTTGCTGGCACAGGGATTTTTGAAAGGTGTTCACTCTGCTGCCTCCCGCATGCTGATTTTAGCTGACTCAAACATAGGCAGGAAAGGGCGTGGGGGAAAGTATAGCCTTGAAAGAACCGGCAGACCCACACAATCCTCCGTACACACGGCTGTGTGACACTGTTGGAGTCAGAGCGCCCTCGAGCCTCCCTTGGCCCAGGCTCTGACCAGGAATGGGTGGTCCTCAGGCGGTGGTGCGAAGGTTCCTGGCCCAGGACGAGACCTTCACGCAGTTAGAGACTCTCAAGAAGGACAACGAGCAGACGTTGGTGAGGCTGAAGGAGGAGAAGCAGCGGCTCCAGAGAGAGCTGGAGAACCTCAAGTACTCCGGGGATGCCACACTGGTGAGGTGAGGCCTCAGTGGCTGAGGGAGGCCTGGGGGACGCTGGAGTCAGCCGCCTGCTAGCTGCTGAACCTCCTGGCTCCCTGCAGTCAGCAGAGGCACCGCGACTCGATGCAGGAGACACTCAAGAAGGAGGAGCAGCGACGCAACGTCATCCAGGAGCAACTGGATCGCACCTTGCGAACTCTCCAGTTGGCCAAGGACTGCCTGGAGCACTTGGCCAGCAAACTGAACCACGTGATAGTGGTAGGCCCCCCCCCTCCCTGGTAAAGATCTACCCCTAGTGATGCTCCGCCCCTTGGTGGGGGCACCCAAGGAGATCCGCTCCAGTGGACACTGTCCCTGGGAGGCCCCACTGCAGAAAGCTCCACCCCATCCCTGGCAAGCCCTGCCCTCATCCTCCCAGAACATCAGAATGAGTTGAAGTGCCACACAAGCCACAGGATTCCAGCCCTGTCTCCTGCCTAGAGAGCGTGACTTCGTTTAAGGAAGAAAGTTTCACACCGCGCATCACTGTCCGGGTTCCACATTCCTGGGGAAGTCCTCATTTGCTCAGGCTAAAGCTGACGCTAGTTCTTTAGAAAGCCTCCCTCACTCATGTATTAATCTCAAAGAGACCTCCCATCCTTTGTATAGATCAAGTCCTAAGGCGAGGCTTTAATTTTAGGACCTGCCTGTGGATGGACTCTTTGCAAAGCTCTCCCCTCCCTGGGAAAAGCCCCACTCATGGGTGAAGCCTGTCCCTTCGCAGGGACCTCGCATCTCTCAGCTAACTTAGCCTATCCCTCCTGCAGGATAATAGCCTTTTGGCAGGAAAGTTAGACCCGGACACAGAGGATTATGTGTCCAATCTGCTGGTTGTTGTCGAGGAAAAGTTGCTGAAACTACAGGGGCAAGTAGAGAGTCATGACATACCAGAGATGCTGCGACACATCACAGAACGAGAGGTGCAGCCACAGGGTCGAGGCTGGGGGCGGGCTGGAGAACCGAGGGCACGCTGAGATGGGAACAGCAGATGGGGTGAGGTGTGAGCTTCTTATCCAAAGAAGAGAAGCCGGGACTGGTTGGATCAGATGGCAGGACTGGAGAACCTGGGATGACTCTAGACAGGTCTACAGGCAGGGTCCAGAGCCCAGGCCTGAGTGACAGTTGTCAGCCTGCTGGGGAAGAGTATGCAGGAGAGTGGACAGTGGTCTCTCCTAGAATCCGGGCACTATCTGGAAGTATGGTGGGAGGAGGAACAGCTTCGCTTCAGTCCCACACCTCTCTCCTGCCTCCTGCAGTTCCTGGCCACGTTAGAAGGAAAACTGCCCCTCTACAACACCCGCATCCTTCTGCCCGTTGCCAGTGTCAAGGACAAGTTCTTTGGTCAGTGTGCGCCAAAGGGAGATGGGTGGGAGGGGCACGAGGTGGCCTTGTGTCAAGGCCAAAGAGGAGGTGCATGGTGTGGTGAAGTCTGGGAAAGGGGAAAGAAACGCCCTCTTCCCCTCCCACCCACCACGCTTACCTGCAGACGAAGAGGAGAGTGAGGAGGACGACCTTGATGTGGCGACCCGCGCTGCCTTCAAGCTTCATTCCCAGAAGTTAATCGAAGCCCGCAGTAAGAAGCGCAGTAGGTCGCGCAGGTCCTAGACTGGCAGTCACATCCCTTCGGATGCCTCCTGGCCTCTAGGGAGCCCTCCGACCCTCTGGAGCTACCTACCGGTGTGGCCTCGAGGCTCCTTCAAGGGCTGAAGGAGGCTTGACGTGGAAGCACCTCAGGCCGGCAGCGCCCGGAGGAGGAAAAAGGTTGAGAGCCAGAAGTTCCCACAGTAAATCTCTTGAGGCGGGTTAGAGTCCGCCTCAGAATCGCGCAATAAAGGTCACAGATTAACCCCTTGGGTATTCACCTCTTCTTGGCCCTGCACCGCCCCTCATAGGCTGACCCCACAAAATGCAGGGCCACAGACACTTCGCAGCTTCCAGCCTGAGACAATAGGGTTCCCATCACCTGTGATACAAATTCAGTGTGCCCTTATTCCCCTCCAGACATAGGAGCACTCCTACACCTGGGGCTGATCAACCACAACTGACCACAAAGAACTTCCCACCCGGGGACACAGATCTGTCGTCGTCCCCCGTACACTCATATCTGGGATCAGGGAAGACTTATGGTCAGGGTGACAGCTTGACACACCTTTGGGGGAGGTCCCGGACTTCTGTGTTGGTTTAAGTGCCAGGGTCCGGTTGGGGACCTCTGGAGTCGTACGACCGCCTTGCCCAGCCCCGCCCCGCGACTGGACGCGCGGCCGCCCCGCCCCACTGCCCGCTCCTGCTGGCCCTTCCGCCTCACTCCGCGGCGCCAGGGAGCAGGACGGGCATCGGGGCCATGCAAAGGACAGCGAGCAGAGAGCTGGCCTTGGTAAGAGGGAGCTGGGGAATCCTCAGACCCCACGTCCCTGGTGCATCCCCAGACTCAGAAACTCCGGATATCCACCTCTCGTTTTTTACCTCTTTCTGCCAAATTGATGTGCCCTGGAGTTCCCACTTGGGGATTCACACTTCCTGACCCCGCGACGCGGCTGGTTTGTGGGGTGGGGACCGGGGTCTGAGACTATCTCGGGAGGAAATGACAAAAAGATTCTTTGTGACATTGGACTATGGAATGTCCTCAAATGATACCCCATCCACTCAAGACCTAAGAGGAGGCTATCTGTGGCGCAGAGGGACCCACCTGGGATCCCAGCCAGAGTCTCAGTAGTCTACTCGGGAAAGAGGCCCAAACTTACAGGCCAGGGCAGAGGTGGGGGTCACTGCTCTGAGCCCGCCTCCACATCCAGGCGCCTCTGCAAGACTGGGGCGAGGAGACAGAGGACGGCGCCGTGTACAGCGTCTCCCTGCGGCGGCAGCGCAGCCAGCGCTCGACCCCAGAGGGGCCTGGAGACGACCAGGTGCGGAAGGGGCTGGAGGTGAGCAGTGAGGGCGGGCTCAGCCCGGGCTGCGGCGGAGAGGCAAAAGCTAAGAGCAGCGGGGCCAGGAGGAAGGGTGGAGCTTAGAGGCGACCAGGTGAGTGGAAAGGACCTGGGGGCGTTCAGGTGACTGGATATAAATTCAGGAAATAGGGGTGGGGCCAGATGATAGCACGTCCCGAGAGGTAAAATGACCGACAAGGTGCAAGAAATCTGAAAGGTCAGCAGCAAGATGGGGGGTGAGTGGGACCGAGGCTTGGCCAGTGAAGCGAGCTTGCAAGGCTGACTGAAGCCTAGGGTTGCCCGGTGAGGAGGGAACAGAAGGCAGGGCTTAAAGTGTGGGGTGTCTGTCCTACGGGATTAATGTAGGCTTTAGATGGGTGGACATCTATTTAGGGAGTCTCAGATTTACAAAAACGAACACAATCAGAAGCAAAAGAGGTGCCAGCGACAGGTGTGGTTGGAAACAAGGTGCTTGGGACACCCCTCATGTTATCCCATCCACCGCCCCCCCCCCGCAGGCTCCCACCCCGGTTGCTGACACCTTCCTCCAGTACCGCACCAGCAAGGTGCGGGCGCTGAGGGCCGCCCGACTAGAGCGGCTGGTGCATGAGTTGGTGTCCGGAGACCGTGAACAGGATCCTGGCTTCGTGCCTGCCTTCCTGGCCACACACCAGGCCTTTGTGCCCACAGCCCGAGTTCTGGGCTTTCTGCTGCCCCCGCCGCCGCCGCCGCTGCCACCACCACCTCCTGGGTCAGTCATTCTCAGGAGACTCTCAAGTCCCCAATTTCAGAACCCCTTCTGCGCCCCCTCCCCCGCCCCCAAATTTAGAAACCCAGAGCACAGGTCTTAAAAGCTCTATAGCTGCATTACCATCTGATAGAGGCTTTTCTTCCCAGGGTAGACAGCAAGAGGGCAGAGGCACAGGATCTGAGCTTCAGCAAGCATCTGAGGTTGGTTCCACCCCCACAGCCCCCACCCCCACCCCTGGCCCAAGGGAGCGTGGGGGAAGGGACCTCAAAGTCAGGACTGTCGGCTGCGTGGAAAGGCTGGGAAAGTCTAGGTCCTTGGACTCAGTTTTGACTCACACATCCTTCTCCATTCAGGGCTGTGGTTTCGGTACTCGGTTCTTGGCTGCGAGATCATCCTCAGGACTTCTGGGATCCCCCTGCCCATCAGAACCTGGGGAATGTCCTAATATTTTTGGGCTGGGCAGCCCCAGGAGGGGCAGAAGCCAGGGAAGCAGAGAAGCTTCTAGAAGAGTTCTTGGAAGAGGCTAAGGGAGAACAGGCAGAGGAGGAGCGGCGACTGGCTTGGGCTGGTAAGGGACATTTAGTGCTGGTGATTCTGAGATTGTGCTACCCCTCTCAAAATGACAGACCCAGAACACATTTTTTTAAAAAAATAACAAGAACAATTTTATTGTTGAGGGTCACCACATAAGGAACTTCATTAAAGTGTTGCAGCATTAGGAAGTTGAACACATTTTTTAAACTTATTTTAGTGCTCGGAAATAAACCCTTTTCGCATACCAGGCAAGCTCTTGTAGGTCTTGAGCCACATCTCCAGCCCTGGAAAAAGCTTCCTTTCCTTTCTTCCTTCCTTAATGTGTGTGTGGTGCATGTATGTGTTCATGAACATGGGTGCACATGCACGTATGTGCACACGAATGTGGAGACCAGAAGACAATGCTAGGTGTTTTCCTCTGCTGCCGTCTACTGTTATTGAACCTGGAGCTCACCCTTTTGGCTAAACTGACTTGCCCTTGAGCCCCAAAGTTTCTCCTGTGTTTGCCTATCCAGGACTGGGCTTTCACTACTGTGCCTTGTGGTTTGTGGGTGCTGGAGATCTGACTTCAACTCCTCACACTTGCATGAGCAAATATATTACCCACTGAGCCATTTCTCTAGCCTCATGGGAAAATACTTTTAAGCTAAATGAGCCTTATTTTCTTCACCTGATCATAAGTCTTTATCAAAAGATATTAGCATTTGCTTATTAGTATCCTCATGCACCCCAAGATCCTTCGTTCTCTGATTTGGGATGTCACTTAGTGGCTGAATGCTTGCCCAGCCAAGAGCAGCAACGTGGGTTCAAATCCCAGGCCTGCCGATTGGTTATTGTGTGACCTTGATTAGATCTCTCCCCCTCTCTGAGACGGGAATGGTAACAGTGATTACCTCATGGGATTTTCCATTTAGTATGTGTTGAGACCCTAGCCCTGGCCATTAATGATGGACTCGGTTTCCCAACCTTCTGGAAAGGACATCCAACACACACAGAAAATCAGTACACAGCAAGGGATGGCCAAGTGTCCTGGTATTTTGTTTAATTTGTATTCATTGCTACTGTGTGTCTGACACGTGTCTGGATCCCTACATGCCACAGAGTGCTTCACTTTTTACTATTATATGTGTTCCTTGTTCTTAATGGCTGGGCCATTTGACTAATCATATTATTAATATGTGTTGTTTTTATTTTACAAGACAGGGTCTCAGGTAGCCCAGGCTATCCTCCGGTAGCCCAGGCTATCCTCAGTATGTAGCCAAGGATAACCTTGAACTTCTGATATTCCTGCCTCTATCTCCCCAGTGCTGGGTGTTATTTTTGTTACTGTTGTAGTCTCTTTGCTTTTTTAATTTGTTTATAACTTTATGTGTTTGAGTGCTTTTCCTGCATTAAATGCACCGTGTGCCTGCAGCGCCAGCCAGCGTAAGTCAAAAGATCTCTGCTCCCCTGGAACTGGAGTTCCAGGCAGTTGTGGCCATAGTTTTGTTTTACTTTTTGAGACAGGGTCTTGCTATATACCCCGCGCTGTGCGCTAAGTAGCAGAGGGCGACCTTGGACAGATGTGTGGTTTACACAGAGCAAGGGACTGAACTCAGGGCCCCTTCTGTGTGAGGCAGCACCAGTTCCTTCCCTGGAGTGTTGGATTACGTGTGTGCCACCAGCCTAGTATTGGTGTTTGTCTCCTGGTTTTGGTGCTTGTTTTTTTGTTGTTGTTGTTTGTTTGTTTATCAAAATAGAGTTTCTCTGTGTAGCCCTAGCTGTCCTGGAACTCAATCTGGAACTCAACCAGGCTGGCCTCGAACTCAGCATACACTTGCCTCTGCCTCCCAAGTGCTAGAATTAAAGGTGTGCACCACCACCACCCAGATGTTTCCTTTTTTGTTTGTTTTGTTTTTTAGTCTTTATTTATTTATTCGTGTATTTCTGTTGCCAGGAACTGGAACCTACCTCTATACAATCGAGGCAGTTTTCCCACGGGATCTAACCTTTTAGGTATCTACCGGGGCGGTGGAGTGGGTGCCACACATCAATTGACACCTTATTGTGAGCACTAAGGTACCAGCAAACACTACAGAAAAACTGGTGCTCTGGAAGCCAGCCTGGTCTACACAGTGACCTCCAGGCCACCCAGAGCTATATGGTGAGACCCTGTCTGGAAACAAAGGAAGCTAAGGATGAAGAAAAGATTACAAATCTCACTCAGGTCTTGAAATGTCATTTCTGGGGCAGGTGAGAGGGCTCAACAGATAAGGGGGCTTGCAGACAGTCCTGATAGTCTGAGTTTGGTCTCTGAGACTTACGTAATAGGAGCGAACAGGTTCCTGAAATTTGCATTGTGCACAATAGATGCGTGTAGTTTTTATTCATTTGTTCATTATTTATTTACATTTTATCCATTTTTTGGCAGTGGTGAGAGTGGCCCACATGTGCCAATAAGCCATCTCAAATGAACCTACATGAAATTTTGAGTTTTGTTTTGGGTTTTTTGAGACAGTATCTCATCTCACTGTGTAGCCCAGGCTGGCCTGGAACTTGCTATGTAGCCCAAGCTGGTCTTGAACTCCTAGAGAGCCTCCTGCCTTTGCTTCCTGAGTGCTGGGATTAAAGGCACCAAACCCGAAAAAGAAATTTCACTTCTCTTGAGAATGCCTGTCCCGTCCATCTGATGCCTGAGGCTGCCTTGTTTTTCTGCACACTTTGTAGTTGATTCCTGGCTTCCCTGCATCCCATGAGTGCAGTAGCGAAGGATGCTATTGGCTTTGTCTCCACCAGCAGGACAATTAGGATTATCTAACGAAATAATTTTACTCTGCTTATACAGAATCATCGTCTCATCCGTGTTTGAGCTCATCTGATTCTGTGTCCCTAATCCTCATCCTTTAATCCCTCAAACCCTGAGCTCAAGTGGCCACTTCCAGCTCTCAGCCACTTGCAGCTCTCGAGGGAAGCAACTACTTACCCATGCCTACTGGTGGTGTTTTCTTCTCTGCTTAATTGATCACCGAGAGATTTCCTTTCCTACCATCAAGTTTTAAATCTTTTGTTACATTTATTTTCCTTATTCTGCGGTGGTGGACTGAGTGAGTGTGGGAGTCGGTTCTCTCCCTCCGCCATGTCGGCCATCAGGAGGGACCCCTATGTGTGTGAGTGGCTAGGGACTGACCTAGGGCCTCACCCCTGTTCTTCCACTGAGCCACAAACATTTGGGGCTTGGCTTTCTGGGGGTTTTCTTTTGTTTTATTGGGTATAACTGAACCCACTATGAAGATTCCGATGACCTCAGGTTTTCAATCTTGCTCCTCTGGGGTAACAGGTGCTCACCACCACATTTAGATAGAATTAGAGGCTATATTTTTATTTTAATTTTTAAGATTTAATTTTAAATATACATGTGGGGGGGGGGGATGACACACAAGTGCAGGTGCCTGTGGAGGCCGGAGACTTTGAATTTCTTGGAGCTGGAGTTAGAAGCAGTTGTGAGCTGTCTGACATGGCGCTTGGAATTAACCTCCAGTCTTCTGGAGAAATACTATCCACTCTTAATCTCTGAGCCATCTCCCAGCCCCTGTTTTTATTTTTTAACATTTATTCATTTATTTTCATGTACGGGACATATCATGTCACAGTGTATGTGTGTACGTGCACGCATGCTTGTGTGTGTGTGTGTGTGTAGGTCAGAAGACAGCTTTTGGGAGTTGGTACTCTCCTTCCATTAATGGCATCCGCTTCGGGTCTTTGGCTTTGGCAGCAATCTCCTTTAACCACCGAGCCATCTCAGCAATGCCACACCGCTACCACCCCACCTTGAGACGGAGTCTCACTCTGTAGCCCAAGCTAGCCTGAAACCATAGCTGAGGTCGGCTTAAAACTCCTGGCAATCCTCTTGCCAAATGCCCTCCCACCAATGTCATCAATCAGAGGCAAGGAAAACTGAAGAACGCAGTGATGTGTGGTGGCATATTCTTGTGATCCCAGCTGTGGCAGGAGGACCAGCCTGAGGGTGTAGAAAGCCTCCTCCTAAAAACAAAGCTAACAACAAAACCACTTGGGGTGGGCTGCAGAGATGGCTCCACCAGGTAACAGCACTTGCTGCCAGAGCTGGCCCCTTGAGTTAGATTTTTGGAACTTCAGGGTGGAAGGAGAGAACCAACTCCCATTGTCCTCGACCTCTGAACATAAACCGTGGCACTTGCGGACCCAAAAACACACATAAAATTAATTACGTAAATAAAAAGCAAAACAGTCAGGGTGTTCACAAGTGAGGAGGTGAGACACAGAGGCACTTGCCTAAGGTCCCACAGGCAATCTAGACTCCTGCTGAGATTAAAGGCATGCACCACCACCGTCTGGCCTTTACTTAATGTATAGCTCCGTGTGTGTGTGTGTGTGTGTGTGTGTGTGTGTGTGTGTGTGTGCTGTGTTTTGCCTTCATGTTTGTCAGTGCATCACATGTGTGCACGATGTCCACAGAGGCATCATGTAGATCCTGTAGGTCCCCTGAGACTGGAGGTACATAGAGGTACAGAGTTGTTAGCTACCATTTGGGTGCTGGGACTCCAACCTCTGTCCTCTGGAGGAACAGAAAGTGCTCCTAACTGCTGAGTTATCCTCTCAGCCCAAACATGAGTTTTAAACATTGTATCTATTCCCTAGGCCCTTCCAGGGCTGCCCAGTCTCCCAGATCAGAATTCTCCGAGGACTTCGAGGAAGACGAAGACCCCAGTTCTGAAGGCCCCGAGCTCCTGGACTTCAGAGTGGATGAGGTGGCGGAGCAGCTGACCCTTATGGACGTGGTGGGAACCCCAGCCAGCGTCAGGGTGGGAGGGTGGGTGAGGCCTGTACTGATGAGCACCCACCCATCTTACCCTCTTCTCCCCTACACAGGAGCTCTTCTTGCGCGTGCGTACCTGTGAATGTCTGGGTTCCATGTGGTCTCAGCGTGACCGGCCGGGGGCTGCAGGCATTTCTCCCACAGTGCGTGCCACCGTGGCCCAGTTCAATGCAGTTACGGGCTGCGTGCTGGGCTCGGTGCTCGCAGCGCCTGGCCTGGCAGCCTCGCAGAGGGCACAGCGCATCGAAAAGTGGATCCGCATCGCGCAGGTCTGCATCAGGATGGTACTGGGGCGGGGCCCAGCAGCCGACCTAGGGTGCGGCCAGAAACCAGCTTGCTGAAACTGAGGATTAGAGACTGGAAGTGGATGTGTTGAAACAATAGGATTGCAGTGGGAAATGGAAAAAGGGGGGGGGGAACAGATCAGGTGTATGGGGTGTCTAGAGGAGTGGGGAGGGGAAAAGATGATCCTGGAGGACTTGGGAAAGGATCTTGGATCCAGAGGAGAGGCTGTGGGCACGTGTAAGAACTGAGGAACTACAGAGAAGTAAAGCGTAGGGGTAGATGGGGGAACCAGGCTCAGCCAGGAGGGGTTAAGAGCTGAGCGAGGGGCTCGTTGGAGAAAGGGAGCATGTCGGTTTACCTGCTTAGCCACTCTACAGGTGAGGCCTGGGGTCTGACCTGGTATCAGAAAAGCCCAACCTCAAGTCCCGTGTAGTGGCATGTGCCTGTAGTCCCAGCATTGGGGAGGTGGAGGCAGAAAGATCAGCCTTGGCTCTGGATCCAGAAGTTGTCTTTAAAAACAAAACAAAGGCAGCACGACACAGCTACCGAAGAAGCTGTGCCTGGGAGACGGAAGTGGAGTGTGGCTGCTGACCAAGCCGCCCCCTTACTCCCAGCGCTGCAGGGAACTTGGCAATTTCTCTTCATTGAGAGCTATCCTGTCGGCCCTGCAGTCTAACCCCATCTACAGGCTCAAGCGCAGCTGGGGATCTGTGAGCCGGTGAGTTGGGTGCCCCATGCAGTAACCGTGCCCTGGCTCTGACTGTTCCCTCTGCTGACCTGAGCGCACCTCTCACCCCCGCAGGGAACCACTGTCCACCTTCAAGAAACTGTCGCAGATATTTTCTGATGAGAATAATCATCTCAGCTGCCGAGCAATTCTTTCCCAGGTATTGGGTACCCCCAAATCAAGAAAGTGTGGTGGCCCGTGCTTGGAAGGCTGAGGCAGGAGGAACACTGTGAGTTTGAGGCCAGCCTGGTCTACAGAACGAGTTCCAGGGCAGGCTCCAAAGCTACACAGAGAAACCCTGTCTTGAAAAGCAAGCAAACAACAAAAACAACAAAAATATTCCAAGTATGAAGATGGGGAGATGTCTCAGTCTGTGAAGTGCCTTCCGCACAGGCATGAGTCTCTGAGCACAGAAGCCAGCAGCCACACAAAAGCAGAGTGGGAGACCTCTGTAATCCCAGCAGTGAGGAGGAGGACAGGGTGTTCAAGGACAGTTTCAGCTACAAAGTCCAAGGCTATCCTGAACTCCAAAAAACCTTGCCTCAAGCCGGGCGATGGTGGCGCATGTCTTTAATCCCAGCACTCGGGAGGCAGAGGCAGGCGGATCTCTGTGAGTTCGAGACCAGCCTGGTCTACAAGAGCTAGTTCCAGGACAGGCTCCAAAGCCACAGAGAAACCCTGTCTCAAAAAACCAAAACCAAAACCAAAACAAACAAACAAACAAAACAACAACAACAACAAAAAAAACCTTGCCTCAAAACAAAACAAAAAGTAAACAAATTTTTTTAAAAAGCAGGGCCCAGTGACTCTCAGCACTTGGAAGACTGAGATAGCCTGGTCTTCAGAGTGAGTTCCAGGACAGCCAGGGCTAAGGGGACTTGGAGCCATTCTCAGGGAAGCATCGTGTCCCCAAAACATCCTTCCTTCAAGGATTTGCTGCAAAGCCAACTCTAGCTTCTGTCTCCAGCTTGCTTTCTCCCTGCTTCACAGGCAACACCAGCCTTCTTTATTCATTCTGCAAAATGCAAGGAAGTCAGAGGAAACGATTTCCCAAGGGGCCTAGGGAGGAGGAACCATGTTCTAGGAATTCACCTTGATAAGAGTTTTTCAAATGTGGGCCAGCAAGGGTAAAGTTCTGATTAGAATCGAGTGCTCACCCTCGGTGTGAATTCCATATAGATGAGCATGGAGCCTGATTCCTGGGTCTGGAACATCCAATACCCCTCAAGATAGGTGTGTGCTGTGCCCACTCCCCTCCTTCAGGTCTCTTCTAAAGACCTCCACCTTCAAAAGTACCTCCCCCAGGCCGGGCGGTGGTGGCGCACGCCTTTAATCCCAGCACTCGGGAGGCAGAAGCAGGCGGATCTCTGTGAGTTCGAGACCAGCGCTGGTCTACAAGAGCTAGTTCCAGGACAGGCTCCAAAACCACAGAGAAACCCTGTCTCGAAAAACCACAAAAAAAAAAAAAAGTACCTCCCCCACCTCCACACTCCCCTCCCCACCTTCTCCACACTCCCCTCCCCACCACCTCCACACTCCCCTCCCCATCTCTACATTCCCCTCCCCACCACCTCCACACTCCCCTCCCCATCTCCACACTCCCCTCCCCATCTCTACACTCCCCTCCCCACCACCTCCACACTTCCATCCCCATCTCCACACTCCCCTCCCCATCTCTACACTCCCCTCCCCACCACCTCCACACTTCCATCCCCATCTCCACACTCCCCTCCCAACCTCATGGCCCTTACCCACCTGATGGCCCTTGTTTCTGCCTTCCTTCTTATGAGTTATCTTGGCTGTCCCAGCCATTTTGTCTCACTTGGTCACCCCTGACTAATTATTACCCCAAACAGTGCATGACAACACAGTAAATATTCAGTAAATACCATGAGGGGCTGAAGCTGGATTCGGTTGGTAGAGGCTTGCATAACACGATGAAACCCAGGGTTCCCTCTCTCGCACTGTATAAAATGGGTGAGGTTGTATGCACCTGAGACCCCAGCACTCAGGAGGCAGAGGCAGAAAGTGCAGGAGTTCAAGGCCACTCTATGCCACAAAGACCCTGTCTCCAACAAACAAAACTAAAGCAAAACAAAAAGTGAAGAGAAAGGAAAAAGAAAAGAAAAATACCTTGTTAATGTATGGGCAAGGCAGGTAGCACACCCCTGTAAGCATAGAACTCAGGAATGAGACAGGAAGATCTCAAGTTTGTGGCCAGCCTGGGCTACAGTGAAACCTTATCTCAAAACAAACAAACAAACATCAGGGGAACCAGAGAGGTGGTCAGTGGTCAAGAGCTCTTGAACTCTTTGAGAGGATCTGAGTTTGGATCCAGTGTTTCATCCACACAGCTCACAGTCACTTCCCTCTCAGCTCCAGGGGATCTGATGCCCTCCTCTGGCCTTCTGAGGCACTGCACACACATCTACACATACCCATACTCATATACACACAAAACAGACAGCCAAACAAAGTTTAAAAACCTTCCCAGTGAAGGTGTATTTCAAATGAGGAGGACTCAAGAGGCAAAAATCAAAGCTACTGTGTGCCAGGCATTGTCCTGACCCTCTGGGAACCAAACACATACTTGTTCCTGTAGGAGACGCCAGCCCAAAGGAGGACAGAACAGACCTTCTTGCTCTCTGTCTGAATAATGCCCAGAAGTGAGTCCAGGGTCCTTCTAGAGGTTCCCCAGTCAGCCTGTTCTAAGTAAACCAGGAACAAACGTTTTCTTCCCATCCACCCTGGGGACACAGAACTTGCTTTAGAACTCCCTTAGTTCAGGCTTTCTCTATCCCCAGGGTAATCTACACCCTGTTTGGCGCTAACAACTCATTTGTGATGTTCTTTTGTTTTTAGACAGGGTCTCCTGTAGGATAAGGATGTCCTGAGCACCTGATCTTCCTGTCTCTATCTTGAGTGCTGGGCTGACAGGAGAAGGCTGCCACAGTCAGGCTGTGTACTACTTGGGATGGAACCCAGCAGTTCCAACTAAGCTACAGCCCCAGGCCACAAAAGTCAGCCCAGTGCTGACTGGGTGGGTCCTTTCCCCGCTGAGCCATCTCACCACCCCCCAGCTAGTGGTCTGTGAAGGCAGCATGGGTATATGTGCCAGTCTCAGAGTGGTCTCTGTGAGAAGTGTCAAAGTGAGCCTCAGATTCCTTTAGTCTCTTCCTTCCCAGGAGGAGACCACTGAGGGACCCCATGATGACGACTGCCTCCCAGGAAGTCTGCCGTCAGTAAGTGATAGGGTTCAGGATGGAGATGGGGGTGACAAAGGGGACTCTCAGAGAGAGGGGCCTGGGGTCAGTGATGCCACTGAGTAACTGAAGTTTTGGGGTTGCAGAAACTGTCCCCAGGTCCTGTCCCCTACCTTGGCACCTTTCTCACAGACTTGATTATGCTGGACACAGCCTTACCGGATATGTTGAAGGTTTGACCCCTTACCCTTGACTCCTGACCCCTGCTCTATTACCCCCAACGCATCACCTTTGATCCTGCCTTGTACTCATCTCCCCCATTCACATACTATGGTGGCTCACACCATCCTAGCTTTTGATCTTGACTTTTGACCCTTGACCCTGGATGCTGTAGCTCAAGCCTGTTTTGCCCCCTCAGGGAAATCTCATCAACTTTGAGAAGAGGAGGAAGGTGAGTAGGTGGGTACTTGGGTGGGTGGGATGCCCCAGGGTGGGGAAGCAGGGTGGGGCAGGGTCTCAGTAGACACCCCCTTAGGAATGGGAGATCCTGGCCCGAATCCAGCAGCTACAGCATCGCTGCCAACTCTACAGCCTGAGTCCCCACCCACCAATCCTGGCTGCCCTTCGAGCCCAGCGCCAGCTCAGTGAGGAACAGAGGTAACCAACCCACCAAGTCTAGTTCACATACAATCCACATTTCCTCCCCTTCCAGAAGCTTCTCAGACCATTCTGAGGACAGCCCCACCCTGTACCCTTTATTCCCTTGGTCTGAAGGTCACTACCCACCTCCAACCTAAAATTTGAGCCCATTCTATACCCTGATTTTGCCTTTCATGTCCATTAGTCAATCAACTTGAACGCCCCACCTGTGTCCCCGTAGACTTCTGATCCTGTCATCCAGATCTGTGGCCCTGACCATCAGCTCCGCAGTGACGCTGGCTTTAGTGTCCATCTGGCCCCCCGACTCAAGAGCCCTATTGCTTCCTTTCATTCCATTCAACACATGCCATACACTATTGGTCCCCTAAATTATCTGACCCTGAATTTAATGTTGGCCCAATTGACTCTTCAGTTCACACTGCGGTTTCTGTTTTGTTTTGTGTTTGTAGTGTTAATGCCTCATACATGCTAAGTCTGTGCTCTACCCCTTAACCATGGCCTCAGCCCCTCGCTGGGGACTCTAGGCAGGGGTTCTACCCCTCAGCCATGGCCCCAACCTCTCACTAAAGGATTCTAGGCAGGGTATCTACCCCTAAGCCACGGCCCCAGCCCCTCACTGGGGACTCGAGGCAGGGGCTCTACCCCTAAGCCATGGCCCCAACCTCTCACTAAGGGATTCTCTGCAAGCACTCTATGTGTGAGCAACACCCCTAGCTAATCTCACCCTGTAAGTGCTGTGCACCCCACTAACCAAAGAGTTCACCCCATCTATAATGCACCCTGGTACCCCAGTGAATCCTGTTTCCATCCTAATCTGACACCTCACCCCTTCTCTCCCCACTCTGTACTTGATTGACAACTCACACTAACTCCTACCTCTTGATTCTTCCTCTGCTTCCTGTTCCCTCGCCGCTCACATGCTGAACCTCTCCAGCTACCGGGTCTCCCGTGTCATTGAGCCACCAGCTGCCTCCTGTCCCAGCTCCCCACGTATCCGGCGGCGAATCAGCCTCACAAAGCGGCTCAGTGCGTGAGTGTCAGGATGTGTGCAGTGGAAGCCGTGTGGGCAGAGACGGGGGAGGGGGTGGACAGGGGCGTCCAGTTTCAGAGCTAAACCATCCCTTCTCCTCACCCTAGGAAGCTGTCCCGGGAGAAGAACTCTTCCCCTAGTGAGAGTCCCGGGGACCCGTCCTCACCAGCCTCCAGGTGAGTAGGCAGGCCAAAAGGGACAGGCGACATCAGGACCAAAAGTCCGGCCAGCCCTCCCACCTTGAATTCCGTGTTTTTACCAGTGTGTCTCCAGGGTCTCCCCCATCCAGTCCCAGAAACCGAGAGCCTCCTCCTGGTAGTCCGCCAGCCTCCCCAGGACCCCAGAGCTCCAGCAACAAGGTACCACGATAATCTGTGGTTGTGTTGAGGACTGGGGCACAGGGTTCAGTATCTGTGTGTGCACATGCGTGTGTGTGAGTCTGGTGTGTGTATGCAGCACTGCAGGTGTGTGTCGCAGAGACTGGCTGTTCTCTGCTGCCTTCTCTGGGAGACTGCACCTCCATGGCCATATGAGTCATGACCTACCATCTGGCTCCTCCTGTCTGATTGGATTTCCACCAATCTGTAGGGCACACCAGGTATAATCCCCATACTTTTTTTTCCTAACAAACAATACTCAAGTGTGGTGGTGGTGCAGGCCTGTAATCCCAGCACTTGGGAGATGGAGGCAAGAGGACCAGAGTTCAAAGCTGTTCTTGGCTACATAATGAGCCTGGGTTCCATGATATCATGTCTCAACAACAATGACAAAAACAAATCAAAAACCAAAACAAAACACAAAGTACTGGGATTGGACCTAAAACCTTTCAAGTGCTCTACTATGGAGCCGTGTTCCCAGCCCCTTGCGGGAGATTCTTTCTAGACAGGGGCTCAACCGCTGAGCCATATCCCAGCTCCTCAGTGGCAGACTCTAAGTCAGTGACGAATTGCTATGCTCCCAACACTTTTATTACTTTTTGTCTTGAGACGGGTCTTATTAGGTTGCCGAAGCTAGCCTTGAACTTGCGATCCTCATACCTCAAACTTTCCAGCAGCTGAGATAATAGTTCTGTGCCACCAGCTCTAGCTGTCACTCACTTCTACAAGGATATACAAGCCTAAAAGTCTGCATACCTGACAGGGAAATGGCCCAAATATCCACAGAGCTATGCCCGAGGTTGCTCACTGATGGTGTGTTGTGGCTTTTCAACTATACAATGTACACTATGTGCTGTCTACTCTGGAGCCTGCTGTGAACTTGGCTTTGTGTGTCTATGGGTCATGTGTCCATCTGTTTCTATAACAGGGAACTGGAGTCTGTGTGTGAGGGATGACATATGCTCGGTCTTGTGGGTGTACCCTAACTGTGTGGTCCTCAGTCTCTCATGTAGCAGGAAAGGGGTGTGAGGACTCTGGGGGAGTCGTGTGTGTTCATCAGCTGAGTGACTATAATGGGGAAAGAGCTGCATGGTGTTCATCACGCAGATGAGCAAGGCCACAACCTCTCCAACCCCACACTGCCTACAGCCATCTCTGAACACGGAATCCTCCACAACCTTGACCCTGAGCAACCCTCGAATTCCTCTCCTTGGGCAGCAGACCTCAGAGGCCCGTGTCATTCGAGTCAGCATCGACAATAACCATGGGAACTTGTATCGGAGCATCTTGGTAAGGGATGAGGAGGGGACAGCCTTGTCCTTAGTTCTGGGACCCTGTCCCCTTATCACCTGCCCCTCTTGTATGAGTTTTAATTACATATATGTGTATATCTATAGTATATGTATGTATATATATATGTATATATAGTATGTATACATATATATGTATGTGTGTGTATATATATATATATACATAGTGTGTGTGTGTAGGTCAGATGACAACTTGCAGGAATTGGTTCTCTCCTTCTACCATGCAGGTGTCAGGGACTGAACTCAGGTTGTCTCTTGGAGTAGTCTTTTCCTGCTGAACCGTCTCGCTGGTCTTTTCCTGTCTTTCTTTTACAGCTCACTTGTCAGGACAAAGCCCCCAGCGTGGTGCAAAGAGCCCTGGAGAAGCACAATGTGCCTCAGTCCTGGGCCCGTGACTACCAGCTCTTCCAGGTCCTACCTGGAGACAGAGGTAAGAAGGGACATTTTGCATTGAGCTGGACTTGGAACCAGTGCTGTCACTGCTGTGACAAAACCCCAGACAGCAACTGAAGAGAGGAAGGGTTTATCTTGGCTCACAGTTGCAGAGCTACAGTCCATTACGGTGGGGCGAGCACGAAGAAGCTCCAGGCTGCTGATCACTCCACACAATGCTACCAAATGTGGACCAAGTATACAAATACCCAAGACCATGAGGAATATCCCAGTTCCAACCACCACCACCAGCACCCACAATCACAGGTTGTTCAAGGGTTGAGTGTGAACGCCCTTAGCTTAACCGGCTGGAGAGGAAGAGTGGTGGCAGTCATCTGAGTTCATTGTCACCGTAAACCCAGCTTGGCTGGGAAGGGGTGTGGGAGAAGTCATTGGGGTGATAGGAAGTTGCCCAAGGAGCGCCCAGACTTTGCAGGCCACCCATCGTGGTCCCCATTTCCACGCAGAGCTCCTGATTCCGGACAGTGCCAACGTCTTCTATGCAATGAGCCCAACCGCCCCTGGCGACTTCTTGTTGCGTCGGAAAGAGGGGACAAGGCATACACCTTCAGCTTCCCCAACCTGAAGCAGCACTCACCACGGACAGCTTGGTACCTGGCTTCTACCACCATTAAAGTAGGGGTCCATTTCCTGAAGAGCTTCCGTCCCCCAATGGAAGCCATCTTATTCCATATCCTGGGGATTCCCCAGCCTTAGCCCATCAGACACCATCTCTCTGACTTCCTGAGCACTTGGCCATTACTCCAGAAACATGGATGTGTGAGAAAAGTGTAGAACTCAGAAAAATCAAGAGCTTAAAGAGCTGGGAGCTTAGCTTAGTGGCAGGGCACTTGCCCAGCATGCCCTAGACCCTGGATGTTTTCAGCACTACCCAAAATAAAAGTCCTATACAGTGTAGTTAAGTTAGATCCTAACACGTGGCACCAGGGGTCTGAGAGCCAGCACTGAGTATATCCAGCATGTTGCCACATGCCCATAATCCCAGTGCTCAGGAGCTGCAGGTAGGAGAATCAGGAGTTTGTCATCCTCAGCTACATAGTGAACTGAAGGCAAACCTGGGCTACATCATAAAACTTCATTTAAAAAAAACAAAACTAAGAAAAGGTTGAAAAAATCCTCACGAGAGTTCAGGGTTTTCTCCCCCCCCCCCCCCGGCTTTCAGAAGGAGCGACCCTGCCTCTCCATCACATGAGTGGAGATGTGGGAGGAGGGAGGAGTTTGTCATCACTTGCAAATACAGGCAGCGAGAAACTGGGCATGGCGGTGAATGGCCCTAGCACTGTGGAGGCAGGAGGATCTCAAGTCCAAGGTCATTTTCAGCTGTAGTGGGAGTTCCAGACCAGCCTGTGACATTATTCCCTATCTCAAATAAGCAAAGAGAGACAGTGTGGATGAAGTGAGCTCGGAGGTAACCTCAAAACAGCAGCAGCACACTGGCTTCCGAGATTCTGCTGTAAACTAGACCTCAACAGGAAGGGGCTCTAGGTCTCACCGAGTTCTTCCATTTTTAAGGGGTCTGTAAAATGCCTTAGTGAGGTAACCTCAATTCAGATCCCCAGCACCCACATAAACAGCAGGGCATGGTGGGGTATGTGTGTAATCCCAGTCTAGGAGTGGAGAGAGACAGGTCCCAGGGGTTTGCTAGCCATCATTCACGTGAGACCCTGTCTCAATAATGTTGAGGACCATCAAGATGACTCAGTGGGTAAAGGTGCTTGTGAGGCAAGTCCGGCGTCCTGAGTTCAATCCCAGGATCTATGTAAAGATGGAAGGAGAGAACGGACTCCACAAAGGGGTCTTCTGACCTGTGTGTGTGCACCAAGATATGTGCTCTCAGCACACATTCCAAGACAGGGTTTCTGTGTGTAACAGCCCTGGCTGTCCTAGAGATCGCTCTGTAGACCAGGTTTGCCTCAAACTCACTGAGATCCGCCTGCTTATGCCTCCTGAGTGCTGGGATTACAGGCGTGCGCCACCACCGCCCGGCCCGAGAGTAATATTTTTAAATATTTTTAAAGTAAGGTAAAGAATGATAGATATCTGATACCAACCTCTGGCCTCCAATGGGAGTGTGCATGAGTGAGCACACACACGCATAATACACACCCATAAATCCTAGTGAAATAGGCACTTGCCAAAAAGAAATTGATATCTGCTGTATTGAAAAGTCCAATAATGGCGAGGCAGTAGTGGTAGCATTCAGGAGGCAGAGGCAGGAGCATCTCTGAGTTTGAGATCAGGTCAGCCTGGTCTACAGAGAAAATTCCAGGACAGCCAGAATACACAGAGAAACACTGCCTTGAAAAAAAACAATGAAAGAGAGAGAGAGCAAGAAAAGAGAAAAGTCTAATACGGGGCTGGAGAAATCGCTCAGTGGTTAAGAGCACTTCTTCTTGCTAAGGATCTGGCTTCTATTCCCAGCACCCTCAAGGAGGCTCACCACTCCCTCAGCACTTGGCACTCACATAGAGGCGACTCTGATTTGCTCTGAGAATAAGATTGTCTGTTCTCCCTCAAATTCACTCACCTCGTATGGAACTAAAGCCAGTGATCTTCAGCTACTCAAAGTAAAAGCCACAGATGTACTTGCCGCTCTAGCATACAGAAAGCCAAAAGTGAAGGAAGATGGGCTTAAGGGCAACCCAAGTTACATAAGAGACCCTGTGTCAAAGCAATATGAACACTTTTCCTGTGTTAGGGCTCAAACCCTGGGCCTTGTACATGGTGGGCAATTGCTCTGCCACTGATCTACAACAAAAGCTGTTTTATCTGACTCCTATAGCAAATATGGTCACGTGATTAATTCTTGGCCAATGAGAGATACAATGAAGGGAAGTTGGCCAATTCCGAGGGCTACTCTTAAATGGGAGGGGTGAGTCTTCCCCTTCCACATTTCCTGCTTTCTGCTGGTTAGATTGAAGACATGAGATAACTGGTCTGGTTGAGTAGTCACATCCTCTGAGTAACTGAGCAACAAGTGGGAAGGCACCTGGGCCCTTGGGGTTGGACAACTGCTGTGTGAATTGCTGTCACTTGGAGAGTAATGTCAGAAATAAATTGCTATCTCCTTCTGCTATCCATGGTTTTGTCATAGCAGCCAAAAGAACATTTTTATGCTAGAGGTTGGTGGAACACTCCTTTAGTCCCAGCACTAAGACAGAGGCAGGTGAATTTCTGAGCTTGAGACCAGCCTGGTCTACAGAGAGGGTTCCAGAACAGTCAGGACTGTTACATAGAGAGACCCTGTCTCTAAAACAAACCAAACAAAGATAAACAACAAAAAAGAACATCCTTGGGTGTCTCGCTTAGTTGTTTGTTTCTATCGTTATATTGAGTGTGTTCTGTATACATGTGTTCACAGGCAAGCACTACACAGGCCAGAGGGAGACTTAAAACATCTGAGTTGTGCATGCTCCATCCTATTTTTTTGTGACAGGATCTCTCACTGAACCTGGTGCTCACCTCTTCAGCTAGACTTCATCCACATCTTGCTGCAGTGAGATTCATGTAGAAACTCCTCATCCTGCCTTTTACATGGGTCTTGGGGATCGAACTTTACCTACCGAGCCGTCTCCTCAGCTACCGTTTTTCTGTTTGTTTGGTTTTGTTGTTGTTTGTTTTAGTCAAAAATCTCCTTAAGACCATTTGTATCAGACTGGAGAGATGGCTCAGCGGTTAAGAGCACTAGCTGCTCTTCCAAAGGTCCTGAGTTCAGTTGCTGGCAACCACATGGTGGCTCACAACCATCTATAATGAGATCTGGTGCCCTCTTCTGGCATGTAGACATACATGCAGGCAAGATACTGTATAAATAATAAATGAATCTTTTTAAAAAAAAGACCATTTGGGTGGGGGGGAGGGTGGCGCACACCTTTAATCCCAGCACTCGGGAGGCAGAGGCAAGCGGATCTCTGTGAGTTCGAGGCCAGCCTGGTCTACAAGAGCTAGTCATTTGTATGTGCGGCATCATCTCATGTTCTCATCTGAACTAGCCTGAGAGTGACCCCCTGCCCCATACGCATCTCTAGGCCAGGCAAGGCGCACACGCCTGTAATCACAGCATGGGCTTGGGAGGGAGGAGCAGAAGCAGGATGACCCCTCTGAGTTTGAGCCTTTGATACATAACCAAGCTGTCTCCAAACAAAGCCCATTTCTTTTTTTAAAAAAATATTTATTTATTATGTATACAATGTTCTGTCTGTGTATATGCCTGAAGGTCAGAAGAGGGCACCAGATCTCATTACAGACGGTTGTGAGCCACCATGTGGTTGCTGGGAATTGAACTCAGGACCTTTGGAAGAGCAGGCAATGCTCTTAACCACTGAGCCATCTCTCCAGCCCCAAAGCCCATTTCTTGAGGAAGAGAATCACACTGATATCTGTCTTTTGTTGTTTTATGTGTTTGGTCATTTTGGCTGCATATACATCTGTGCACATGTGTACAGTGCTCATAGAGACCAGAAGAGGGTGTTGGATCCCCTGGAACTGGAAATACAGACAGTTGTGAGGTACCATGTGGGTGCTGGGAATCCGAACCAGGTCCTCTGCAAGAGCAGTATGAATGTATGTATATACGTTTATATGTGCGTATTTATCTATCTCTCTACCTATCTATCCATGTATGTATCTATTCATATATGTATGTACATATCCACACATATATCTTTGTGTGTGTGCATCCATACATGTATCTATCGTGTACATATGTATGAATTCACCTACCTTTCTGTCCATCTTGGTGGTGCTGGGGATAAACCCGAGGCTTTCTGCTGCTAGGCAAGGACTGTACCATGAGCTACACCCCATTCAACTTTCTTTTTTAAAAGTAAAGGAAGCTAGGTGTGGTGGCACAGGTCTGTGATCCCAGCATTCAGGAACCTGAGACAGGAGGATTGCCACAATTCCAGAACAGTCTGGGCTATTTAGTGACACCCTGTGACAAAAACAAACAAAAAATAACAAAACAATACCGGAGCTGTAGCTCATTGAAGAGCCCTTGTCCAGCATGCCTGAGGTCTGGGTTCCGTTCCAGCACCACATAGACCGGAGATGGTAGTGCATGCCTGCCATCCATCCCAACATGAAGGAAGTGGAGGCAGGAGGACAGAAGTTCAAGATCATCCTTAATGATTCATACACTGAATTTGAAGTCAGCTTGGGATACAATAAGACCCCGTTTCAGAAAAAAAAAAAAAAAACGGGCTGGTGAGACCTAAGCCCCAAGGCTGGGAACCACATGGTAGGAGAGGGCTGGCTCCCAAAGTTGTCCTGTGCCCTCCATATGTGCCCTAGTGCATCGGGGCATGCACACACTCACACATGCACACACACGTGTGTGCACACACGCACATGATAAATAAATGTTTACGATTTTTAAAATCATAATGATCTATTCCCAAATCGGTGTAATCCACAAACAGAAAACACCATAGCATGTTGTTTGTCAGACTGCACGGCCTGGTCCCGCTCACACGTCCAGTTGGTAGTCGTCTTTAGGATTTTTATTTCGAACCGGACTGGGGAAGAGGTACCGCCTAGTGCAACAACACAGCTTCCATCTGTGTCCTGCTGAGGCCATTTTTACAAACGGCCTGACTAGACATGAAGAAGGTAAGTCTCCTGTCCATGACCACATTAGCAACCACCAACCCCCTCCCCCGAAACAAAACCCTGCTGTCTGCCCCACCCCCCTACACTGGTTATGGCGGCGGCTGTGCCCAAGAGGGCCCCTGTTCCCTCCGGAGGCCTGTGGCTTATCTGTCCCCGACTGCGTGCTGGCCCCGCCCCCTGGAGGGAGCTGCCACTTGGAAGCTCCTGGTCAGCTGTGTCCGGCAGCTGCTGCTGACCCAGCTGTGGACTGGGGGAAAGGGGAAAGAGGAAAGGGGAGGGGAGGGGGGGACACGAAGGGGCTGGAGCCCTGGGCTTCCTGAAACTGGGGCTGCATCATGGACCACCTCAGGGTGTCCCTCTGGCCTCGGGTTGGCCCCCTCTGTCTCCTACTTGCTGGTGCAGCCTGGGCTCCCTCACCCAGCCTCCCGGACCCCAAGTTTGAGAGCAAAGGTAAGAGCCATACATGGGTACCCCCTCATAAGTCGTAGAGGGCAATGCTACCGCCTGAATTTCCAGCTTGGGTCTCAGGGGCCACACATCCACGTCCTCTGAACCCCCAGATGGATCCTACAGTCAAACTGGTTTCTGAACCTGATGAGGCACGTCAATGTCTTGACCCTTGAGCCATGCCCAGGGGGAAAAGTCTTAGAAGGGCTTAAGATTGTTTTAGCTGTTTGAAACAGGATCTCAGAAGGTAGACCAGGCTGGCCTTGAACTGCTAGGATTAAAGGCAAGTGTCACCCTGCCTGTGCTGTTTTTGTTTTGTTTTGTTTTTGAAGCAGGGTCTTATGGTAGCTCAGGCTGCCCTCAAATTCACTATGTAACTGAGGTTGAACTTGATTCTCCTTCCTCCACCTCTCAACTACTGGGGTGACAGGTTAACCAACACCTTTGGCTCTGTTTTTTTTTTTTTTTTCTGTTTTGTGTTTTGAGGAACTCTGAGACGTGGTAGAATTCGGAAGGGCAGAGTAGGTCAGAGCTCCTAGTTGGAAGTGATCAAACTCACAGTGGCCCTGGAAAGTGGATAAGGTGGTGGGAGAACAGGACCCGTCTGCAGGCGACTGTAAACACGGTTTGGCGCGGCGTATGGTGCTAGATCTCTTCCACTTCTTGCTAGGAGGAGGAAGGGGGGCGGGGGACACGGTTGGCGCTATCGGGGGGCAACCGGGTGCCTGCGGGGACCGATAGGAGGCCAGTACTCTGCACACACGCGCGCTAGGGCGGGGCCAGCACCGCTCAACTTGCAGGGTGAGTGGGCGTGTGCACGGGGTTGGGACAAAGCAGGCGGGGTCGCTACTGCGAGTTCTAGAGGTGCCACTTCAGCAAGACCCCTCGAAGGCCCTCTAGGAGAAGAGGGCGGGGCACTACAATTATCGTGTCTGCACAGGCGATAGGAGGGAGGGTTAGGGGACTGTGGAGTACAGACTTCGACTTCCCTGACCACCACCCACCTCCCCGCTCCATGGCAACCCCCCTCCCTAGCGGCCCTGCTGGCATCCCGGGGCTCCGAAGAACTTCTGTGCTTCACCCAGCGGTTGGAGGACTTGGTGTGTTTCTGGGAGGAAGCGGCGAGCTCCGGGATGGGCTTCAACTACAGCTTCTCTTACCAGCTCGAGTGAGTCTCTCAGGACTAGGTGACCTAAGGCGGGGTTCGGGGCAGCAAAATTTCCTGAATGTCATAACCTGGAATGTCTCCACCGGTCTGAAGTCTTGGTTAAGGGTGACAGGCTGGGGTGGGGGTGGGGGAAATGGGCGGAGGGCTCCCCCTGGTGGCCGGGGTTGGAATAATTCTCCATCAACGGTCCATCACATTGGAATTGGGGCGCTCCAATGTGGTCTCCACTATCTGAGCAAAAGAAATCAAAACCTCTCCAGTCATCTCCTACCCTCCCTGCTTGTCCAATCTTTTCTTCTCGGTTTCTCCGGTCGCACAGGGGTGAGTCACGTAAGTCATGTCGCCTGCACCAGGCACCCACAGTCCGCGGCTCCGTGCGTTTCTGGTGTTCACTGCCGACAGCGGACACGTCGAGCTTCGTGCCACTGGAGCTACGCGTGACGGCGGCCTCCGGATCTCCTCGCTACCACCGCATCATCCATATCAATGAAGTTGGTAGGTGAGAGGAGATGGGAGCGACATCGGTCAGGGTGGAGGCTGGGCTGTGTCCCTGCCTACCCGATTTGCTTCATTTTCTGCAGTGCTCCTGGACGCCCCTGCGGGACTGCTGGCGCGCCGGGCAGAGGAGGGCAGCCACGTGGTGCTGCGCTGGTTGCCACCTCCTGGGGCACCTATGACCACCCACATCCGTTACGAAGTGGACGTGTCTGCAGGCAACAGGCCAGGGGCCACGCAAAGGGTGAGAGTCCATTCAACCTCCCTGCGTCCTGGCCCAAAATACCACTCTTTTGGGTCCCCATCGCTGTTTGTGTTTTTTAAGATTTGTTTATTATAAATATTATACAGGGTTCTGTCTACTTGTGAACTCAGGACCTCTGGAAGAGCAGTCAGTGCTCTTTACCTCTGAGCCATCTCTCCAGCCCCAACCATCGCTATTTTTTAATTGCTCTCTTTTCTGTGCTGGGTGCAC